ATAGCCCCCATACCTTAAGGTAAGACGTATTCTACGTCAAAAAAATTCAATGAATTTTATGATATTAAAGCATTTTGGTTTATTACCTAATGAACTTGTTGCTGGACAAATATTTCTTCGCTTCATGCAGAAAGCAATTATCTTTTCCTCCATATTTTTCTGTCTGTGATCACCTCAAAGCCAACTGGCAAATTAATGATTTTTATTTGGGCGTAGAGACGTACCGAATACCAAATAGTCTCCAAATCTAGGTTCACCAGGAAAAATCACTATTAGTGACTAGATACTGCTTACTGAATCTCAGGGTTAGTACAGACGTGCTATAATTTGGATACAAGTTTCCGGAGACATAACTATTATAAGTGAAAAGACTAAAAGTCAATCAATAATTATTTTATTAAGATAAATATTTTTCGAGTCATCTATAATTATTGTTCAAGGATTTATATTATAAAAGCCCCTCATAATTATTATGTGTGAGAAAATTTTTTTAAGTCATCTTTAACTATTATTTTAAGACTTATGTAATAAAAGTTTTTTCATAATAACTATCAGCGAAATAACGATTTTTAATTCTTCATAGACTTTTATTTTGAGACCTATATTATAAAAGCCTATTCATAATAATTGAGTGCGAAAATTTTTTAAGTCTTAAAAGACGGGGCTTGTTCAGGACCATTTCGGTATTTGTTGGAGTCCAGTTCGGTAACCGTGAGACAACGTAAACTTCAAACCTTTTCGCTTATGTAAATATCCTGCAATTGTAAATATTTTATATGGAACAAAGTTGTTTACCGGTTAATGCCTATACAAATATTTACTATTTCTGTATACATATATCCGGTCTGCTATTTGTTTTTATATTAACGTGCCGACGTTCTATGAAACAAAATTAAGAAACAATATTTGTTAAACATTCAGCAATAAGAGTTGTTTATTTGTACTTCGATTAAAATTTTTTTATAAAAGTGGCTACCAAACTGGTGCTAAGTCAGCATTCGTAAAAACATAAACCAAGTGCAAACATGAAAGTATTTACGGCACTAATTCTTATTGCTTTCGCATTGGTCCTCGTGCAAGGTAAGTTTCCTTAATTTAGATAGAGTACTAAATCTTAAACAAAAAATTCCAATAGCACGACCACAAGGACCCCCACAGGGACCTGGATGTCCTCCACCACCTCCACCGGACGGCGAGGGTGCTTCTCCTACACCAGGCGGTGAAGATGCTTCATCTCCTCCACCACCTCCACCGGGCGGCGAAGGTGCTCCTCCTCCACCTCCGCCACCAGCTGGTGAAAACGGTTTACCTCCACCACCACCAGATAATTCAACCACTGAATCTTCTGTTTCTTCTTCAAGTGTATCTTCCTCAATAGAATAAAAAACTATTCTCATGTCATGTACTTAATATATTTGCATATTTCTTGAGGTTATAAAAAATCAGGATAGGATCGGCCAAACATTAATATATGTGTAAGCGCCAATCTATTATTATACATAAAAAAGCATTCAATAAAAATTGACTACTTAACTTGAATCGCGTTTTTTTAAATAATTGGTAACAGTGTATCACTTAAATTCTGATTCACATTTGTTTCCTGTTTCCATTAGGGATGGAAAATTGAATTACAAAATTGTACCTACTTTACGGAGAACTTTACTTAAAAGCAGACCGATGTACCTAAAAAATAAATATGTATTTGTATATAAAGAAAAATTGGAGGATAACAATTCCCATCGATACCATATAAACTTCTTTACTCACATTAAACAAATTTTTGCTATCAAAAGATTCTCTTCGAGCAGCACGAGACAAAACTTTGTTGTAGAAAATGCGAATTATTTTCCTTCCAGTTCTTCGATCTGACGTTTTAAAAAGACATATTTTCCGTTTATCTGGCGAAATCAACTACAGTTGCGTTACATTGACCACCCTTCTGTATCATTTGTATGCCCCTTCACAAAGGAGGGAATCTAGTAGACCAGTTGCCCGCAACAGAAAATCCATTGAAATGTTAATAAAAATAAGAACTGATTTCCTGGGAAGTTATTTGACTACGGTCCAAATGTACCTAAACTTGTGTCTTTGTACCGAATGTACTTTTAAACTAAATAAAGCTACGATTGTAGCAACTTTTCCATCACTGTAAGTAATCCAGCAGCTGATTTCGTGTCTAATTGCTAATTGCGCAGCTGACGTGTGTGTGAACACCAAACTCAATGCCGCAATTTAATGCTTAACTGCCTCAGCTAATTGGCCAGTTTGAACATAGTCTAACTAAAGCGTCTGAACACAAAGCGTCTGAGGACAAATACATGCACCACAATTAATTCCAATTCAGACTTCCATTATTTTGCTTTCATAAGTACTGCTTTAAGCCTTCCCTTATGCCACAACAATTTTGTAACTTATAATTTTTTAACTGACCAAAATTTAAAAGGAACGTCCGATCGTAACCTCTGCACAGCTGGGATTTGCCCATATAGGGATAAAACCAAGATATGTACAACAAGGGAGAAGTGAAAACTGCCGATACCGCTTTTACCTTGTTGAATATGCCTTATGGTCTGATTATGCATACTTCGCATAACTTCGCACAACTTCGCATATACGTCAAACTGTAATTTCGTATGTACTTTATATGTATGTATTTTGTATGTATTCCATTACCCAGAAATTAGCAGAACTTTTAAAAGCTTAGCGATTTGTTGAGTTTAGATTTTGCTTCACATTTTCTTAAATTATATTTCTATTGCACTGGTAGAAATGGTTGTGCGAATTCGCCCAAATTTGGTAGGAAACGCCCAATAACGGCAATGCTGATGTGGTCCGTTGTCGGCATTATGTGTCTATGGGCAGACAGTTGGAGAACGCAGCCAGTTATGTAGAGCTGGTACCTAGGGATCAACTTGATTACAGCTGTATTTAGGATGTTAATGTCCTTTCCAGCGAAAGGATAACCAAAGAGCCTGGCCTGCCATGGACAGTTCCCTAGTACCTAGTAGATGCCGTGCAAACTTGCTCCTTGCTGCCAAGAGTTAAATGGTATTGCTAAAAGCTAGGGTTGATTTTGTAATTATGAGATATGTTTATTAAAGTAACCATTTTTCGATAGTAATTATATTGTATAGGTCCGCCAAAAACCCCTAAAAATGCAATAATTGTTTGTTATGTAAATTAGATTTGACTGCACATATTGCATTTAATGCTTTTTAGATATAACTTTTTAAATCGAATAAATCGAGGATCGATTAGTCGAGCCCTTCCTATTCCATTTTTGTCGATTTTTTAGCTCCGATTCGATCCGTGAATCGATTCAAAAAATTCGAGAATCGACATTCGATTTTTGCTCAATTGATGCATATTGAACTACGGTTTACCCCAGAAAATCTACAAAAATTTAAAGAAATTTGTTGACTGATTTACTTTTTGACGATTCCTTCCTCCTTCGATTATCTTTATTTCGATCTAACATCTCTACTGCTTATTAGCTTAATCTGATTATCTTTTTCATTTTTATCTCAGTACAGCCCTGTAAGCAGCTCTCAAGAAAATGGTTAAGAAAAAATTGCCATCATTTCGCGTGTGTGTCCAAGGAATTTTGACATTTTTGATACCTCACAGCCTGTTGCCTCACTCTTTCCTCAAGAAATAATGGAACGGGCATATATTTCTGTTGCANCTGCTTATTAGCTTAATCTGATTATCTTTTTCATTTTTATCTCAGTACAGCCCTGTAAGCAGCTCTCAAGAAAATGGTTAAGAAAAAATTGCCATCATTTCGCGTGTGTGTCCAAGGAATTTTGACAT